GTGCTCCGAAGTGCTCGAAAGCGACGACGACGACGCGATCGCCGCCTGGTTCTTCTGGACCGCGTCGGCGTGGATGCACATGCAGCAATCACGCCAGATTGCCCGGACCGAGTCAAGCGCCGTGCTGCGGATCGTGCGCAAAGTTGGGCCATTCATGACCCTTGTACCTGTTGCACTGGGCACGTCGTGGCTCATCATGACCCAACCGGAAAGGGAGGGCCTGCTGGACGCCCTCGAAACGTCCACGCATGGCCGCGAGTACGTTTGGGAGGGGCTCTTGCGCGCCTTCAATCTGACCAGCAACCTCGGGGAAGGCCATGTTGTGGCACTCAGCCACGTCATGTCGGGTCTGCTCGCCAGAGATAGCCCGCTGATTTACCCCAACGATTTCCGGGTAAGAAGTCAATGTGGTGATGATGCAAGTGGCGCTCACAAGTGGTTTGAAGGTGTTTGTGGACATTCTCGTGCGTGAAACGACAGATTTAGACATCCGCGACCCGAGGCGAGGCCCGTTGGCGACGATGCTTCGTGTTGGCATCCAGAGTCCATTGTACGCACGCAGCGGTAGGACACAATCTACCTTGGTTCGTCTAAGAGGGCGCGATGTAGGAAAGTATCGCGTCACGGAAGTGTCGGCAGTGTTGGCGCAATGGAAGCATGCGTTGGAGCGGGAGGGGTGTGCTCGTGTCATGGACGCTTCGACGTGGAAGGCTCTCTGTGACGCGGAATTCGCGCTTCAACAGGCCTAGTGCAACGAAGACAGGGCGATTTGTGGATCTCAAATAGATGTATTCATGAAATGAAGGAGGGAGGGTGTTAGGAGCTGGTGCTGGTCGTTTGGAGATGCGACAGGATCAGCTGAAGTTGGGTCTCGACTTCCTGTTGCACGGTAAGCGCGTGCTGTTGAAATTCATCTGCATGTTCTCGGTGGTGCGAGCTCAGGAACTTCTTTAGGAGTCGAGCAGCCTCCTTGTCAGTCACTTGCTCGCACTGCTTGACCTTGATGCCGCCCACGCTGTCCATCGTGCTGTTGGTTGGATGGTGTCCCGCCACTCGACCAAAAATGGCCGAGTGTTTTACCCAGATTTGGAAGTGTTTTACACGTTTTTTGCAGGTGTTAATCCCTACTTTGGACAACGGCGATAAAAAACAAGGTATGAATCGAAAAAACATATCAAATACATGATGAGGTTTCGATGGAATTCTGTTACTCGAAACGTACACAAGCTTTGGCGTGCTGCTCATCCGCGAGCAAACCTGTTGTCAGCATTCAGTTGATTCGATCCATTCGTGAAAGTTTCACAACTTTGTCTGCCGTAGGAATTGGAATGTTCAACGACAGAATTTTGACTTCGTTT